CACAGGATAGGGATAGGATGGGATCCATGGGATGGAGATTGGGATGGGATAGGGATGGGATCCATGGCATGGGATGGGATCCATAGGATGGGGATGAGATCCACAGGATAGAGATGGAGATTGGGATGGGATGGGATGGGATGGGATGGGATCCATGGGGTGGGATCCATGGGGTGGGATCCATGGGAAGGGATGGGATCCATGGGAAGGGATGGGATGGGATCCATGGGAAGGGGTGGGATCCATGGGAAGGGGTGGGATCCATGGGGTGGGATCCCTGGGATGGGATCCATGGGGTGGGATCCATAGGGTGGGATGGGATCCTTGGGATGGGATCCATGGGGTAGGGATGAGATCCCTGGGATGGGATCCATGAGATCCCTGGGATGGGATCCATGGGGTGGGATCCATGGGGTGGGATAGGATCCCTGGGATGGGATCCATGGAGTGAAATCCATGGGGTGAGATGGGATCCCTGGGATGGGATGGGATCCACGGGAAGGAATGGGATCCCTGGGAGGGGATGGGATGGGATCCACGGGAAGGAATGGGATCCCTGGGAGGGGATGGGATGGGATCCACGGGAAGGGATGGGATCCCTGGGATGGGATAGGATCCCTGGGATGGGATACCTGCGATGGGATGGGATCCATGGGATGGGATCCATGGGATGGGATCCATGGGATGGGATCCCTGGGATGGGATCCATGGGATGGGGATGAGATCCATGGGAAGGGAGGAGATCCCTGGGATGGGATCCACAGGAAGGGATGGGATGGGATCCCCAGGATGGGATACCTGCGATGGGATGGGATCTAGGGGAAGGGATTAGATCCCTGGGATGGGAGGGGATCCCTGGGATGGGATAGGATCCCTGGGATGGGATAGGATCCCTGGGATGGGATACCTGCGATGGGATGGGATCTAGAGGAAGGGATTAGATCCCTGGGATGGGAGGGGATCCCTGGGATGGGATCCCCGGGATCTCAGCTCCCTGCCAACCCCACCCCAAAGTATTTCCGAGCTCCCGAGAGCCGGAGCAGAGCGGGCGCAGGGAGGGGCCGAGGAAGCTCAGCTGAGCTCTGCCCAGGCTCCTGAGGACACAGCTCTGCCCCTGGCAGCTGAGAAAGGGACAAAATCCGATTTTTCTTTGTGGTTTTCTCCAATCTTCTGCCTTCTCACCTCCTGATGCCCCCACGTGTCCCTGCAGATCTGCTTACCCTACAGACCACGCGTGAAGATCCAGCAAACCACAGCAAAGAGAGCTCTTCCCTAAAAACCAAACTCTGCCATCATCTCCGCCTCCAGCTCCTCTCTTCCCAAAGATCTGAGACCCTGCAAGGCAGGAACACTGGGAATTTGGAATTTCAGAGGGCAGAAAAGATGACAGATTTCTGTTAATTCATCTGGTGTATCTGCCCTGCTTAAAACACCAAACAGATCCTGGCAAGTCAAGCACATATAATTTACTTTTAGAAGTTCAGGAAGATGATTAAAACCAGAAAAATATTAAATTTTAGACAATAAAATCATTCTGATGGCTACGAACGCAACCGTGCCCTGCAAACAATGATTATTATTTAACAAAAGAAAGGTAAAAATAGATCTGCAATTGAAAACCAAGAGGATGGAAATAGAATTTATAATCCAATAAAGCTGGAATCAGGCCAGGATAACAGAGTTAATATGGACATTCTTCAGAAAGATGCCAGGAATGTTTCTGGGGGGTTGGGTTTGTTGTTTCTTTTCCAAAACTATGGTTTATTAAATATTAAAACATTTTCTTTTGCACTGTGAACGCAACAGAGCTTGGAAGAGTCAAAACTACTAAAAAGCCACAGAGTTTCTTCTCCCAAACTTTTCTTTTCCTAATTTCATCGCCACCATTTCCAGGCTTACCTCACTCCAGGAATGATCCACGATTAACTGAGGGACAAAATTATGCCTTGCTGGTTGTGGATTTTCTTAAAACACTTCACTGAGGTAAAAAGTTTTCCAAATTTGAGGGAAAACTGTTTTAATATATGGTATTCGCATGGCCAAAGCACTTAAAATTAACTGTTTTAATATATGGTATTCGCATGGCCAAAGCACTTAAAATTGTATAGGAATGGAAGTAAATAAATATAACTATAACTATAAATATATTATAAATATAAATATATTATAAATATAACTATAAATATATTATAAATATAAATATAAATATAAATATAAATATAAATATAAATATAAATATAAATATAAATATAAATATAAATATAAATATAAATATAAATATAAATATACATATAAATATAAATATACATATAAATACTACGTGTATCCACAGATCACCTGTTTAAAAAATAAAAATGATACAGAAAAGCCATTTTCTACTAATTCTGCTCTTTATTTTGGAAAACCCCTCCAGCACCAGTGTGAAAAAAAGAGCCCAGCTTGAGTGGCTGCATTTTCTACAGCTCTAAAAATATTCTGTTCCACCTCACCAGTACCCAGGGTTAAAAATAGCCACACAATCTTTCTGCAGTAAAATACCTCTTGCTGTCTTGAGAAAAAAAAACACTCTCTGAATTTCCACTCAGGCACCTTCAAACCCTTCGGGAATTTTTTGGGATCACGGAGTTGAGGTTTTGGCGCTTCCTAAACCCCAATAAACCGAGGCTCACCTTCCCATCAGCATCACCAATGCTTAAATACGAAGGGAATGTATTAAAGAAAGGCTTGGACTAAAATTAAACTTGTGTAAAGTACACAAGAATTATCGAGGATATCACAAAATGGGCCCTTTCCCAACGATTCCCAATAATTGTGTTTATTTCCAAAGGCAAAAAG